TTATTATTATTATTATTATTATTGTCATTGTATCATTATATATACATACATATATTGTTCGAAAGTTATGAATTTTTACTAGCAACGATATACAGAAAACTGGTGTTGCTTAATATATGCGTATAAACTGATAATCGCTTTAATTGCATGTCACATGCGTTTAAGTTCAAGAAATCGAAATCACAACAATTTTTTGTAACTATAAATGTAATAATAAGAAAAGAATTTTCCTATGTTCCCCATCGTTTCAACGATGCGCTTGTCGCCTTCCGACTTGTACTTATTACACTCGCAAGAAAGGTATGCGTACGGAATACAATGTACCATGGCTATGTTGCACAAATACAACGAAACAGCGAAGCCCAGTTTAAGAAGTTTAAGAAAGCTTTTGCTACGCACACGTATAAGTGATGTATACGAGTGGACACTCGCATGTGGACACAAATAAATTTGCGTCCCGTGTTTATACATACACATTCGGTTCGTGTTCGACACGTAGGATGTATATATATATATATACATATATATCAGAATACGAATGAACTAAAGGGAAAAGAACAGATTGGAGGCGAGGAAAAAAAATTTTTTAAAAAAAGATTTATATGTAGTGCATATCGGTGCAAACAAACGTGATATATATATATACCTATATATGATATGTATATACGGTACTATATAATCGTATGTATGTAATTATATATATATCAATGATATTTCCATGTGCATGTAAGGGATACGTTTTCACGCTCTGTGTGCATCCTCTGTTTACGAAGGACACTTATCAAAAATTGAAGGTGGTATACCACAATGAAAGCCAAATACGAAACCGAGCGAACAAAGAACGCTGGGTAAATGCGTGTATCGAATGGTGGGAGGCGTAGAAAGGACAAGACGAAAGGAAAGCTGAGGGGGAGAATCATGGTGGGTTGCTACAGGAAGCTTTCTTCGGGGAGGGAAAGTGAAAAAAATTATACACACACGTACACATACATATGTGTGTGTGTGTATATATATATAC